AAGAAAGGAAGAAAGGAAAGAGGGAGGAGAGAGAAAGGAGGGGGGTTGGGGATGGAAAGGGAATGAAAAAACAAACCGAAACCTAGGCGTGGGAAGACCTCTCTCTGCCTTTCTCTCTCTCTTCCAGACATTTCAGAGAGAGCTTGCTGCATGCAGACACATTGGAGGATCAATGCAGTTTGAGCTCTTGGCTGAATACTATGGAATCCAGGGACTGGTCCATTGGCTTCGGCCCTCCTGGTGTTTTGGACTTCAACTCCCACCATTCCTAACAGCCTCAGGCCTCTTCCTTTTTGTGTCTCAAACTTTGCATCTCAAACAAGAGGATGATAATAATAGGTAAAGGTTTTCCCCTGACATTAAGTCCAGTCTCATCCTACTCTGGGGGCTGGTGCTCATCTCCATTTCTAAGCCAGCGTTGTCCGTAGACACCTCCAAAGTCACATAGCCAGCATGACTGCAAGGCGTGCTGTTACCTTCCCGCAGTAGCAGTACCTATTGATCTACTCACATTCGCATGCTTTCGATCTCCTAGGTTGGCACAAGTTGGGGCTAACAGTGGGAACTCACCCCACTCCCCGGATTCAAACTGCTGACCTTTTGGTCAGCAAGTTAATCAGCTCAGCGGTTTAACTCACTGCTCCAGCTTGCCTTGGGTTTCCTATGTTTGTGTTCTCTACAGCTGCTTTGAGGCTCCATGTGGAGAGAAAATACGAGATAATCATAATCATAATAATAATAATAATAATAATAATAATAGGTAAAGGTAAAGGTTTTCCCCTGACATTAAGTCCAGTCTCATCCTACTCTGCAAGGTGGTGCTCATCTCCATTTCTAAGCCGAAGAGCCGGCATTGTCTGTAGACACCTCCAAAGTCACATAGCCAGCATGACTGCAAGGTGCACCATTACCTTCCCGCAGAAGTGGTACCTATTGATCTACTCACGTTTGCATGCTTTCGGTCTCCTAGGTTGGCAGAGCTAATAGGGCTAACAGTGGGAGCTCACCCTCGCTCCCGGATTCAAACTGCTGACCTTTC